ATTCAGCTACTGTTGCATTTGAGAGGGAAATAATATTCTTTCACACTGATTTTCATATTAACAATAGCAGTCTGTGACAAGAAAGGCAGTGCAATAGATGAACATTTAAACTTAAATTAAAGGCTGTTTGATACTTGATAAGAAGAATGTCTTCTGGTTTGTTTTCTCACTTTAATGATAACAAATGAAAAGGATCCCAAACAATAATAATGATAATAACAACAGAACCAAATTTCCTCTCTGTTAGACTGGTATAACTTCTGTGGAGCTGTATCAAGGCCAGAAGTGTTTGTATACACACTGTGTACAAACCAGCATGCATTCAGCAAGCCAATGTTGTTACTAAACCTCAGAAATTATTAATTACAAAATATAATTGAAGGACAAAAATGAGATCGCAGACATAAATACATATTTCATAAACTAAGTACAGACAACCAAGTACATTCATTTCTCATGTAAAGCTAGTTTTTCTCTGAAGGAGATTTTATTTGTGGCTTCCTTTTTCTTCTCCTTTATTTAAAGAAAACATTTTTATGGGTACACTGCTTTTGCTTTGTTCTCAGTTACAACTGTTTTCCCTTTTTTCCCCTTAGAATCTTGGTCTACTTTAGGAATATATTTGTGTGTGTATGTCCTTCTGTCATTTCATTCTAGACCATTATCAACTCAAACCTAAATGTCCAGGAAACAAGCTTCCAATCCTCTTATCTTTACTCTAAAGTACTTTTAGTTCTTCACATCCTAACGATGATGTTTTTCCATCTCTTCTTTAGCTGTGTTGTGCAGACTGCCCTTTCAAAATACACTTGAACTTTTGCTTGTACATCTCTCATTTTGACTTTAGAATATCATTATACTCTACAGGTCTAATCAATTTTTGCACATATCCTTCAAAATTATTCCAAAATCTATTTTCTTTTGTTTGGCCGTGCTTTTGTCAACTGCAGTTTAGTGCTTTAGTTTCTGCACTTTCTTCTGGTTCAGACCAACTGAAGCATTAAACTCATTGTACCTTGATTTGACACCTTCTGGAAGCATTCTGGCACAAAACCCTGCCTTTTTTACTCTAGTCTGTCCTTTAGGGAGTAGTTTTGCATCAAGAAGGAGTTGTGCATAATCCTGCTGTCCTGGCAGGGCTTGCAATGCTGAGCAGAGCTCCTGAGCAGCCCCTCTTAGAAACAAAGGAAATCCTAAGGCCTTCCTTCCTTCCTTCCTTCCTTCCTTCCTTCCTTCCTTCCTTCCTTCCCCCCTCCCCTAGCTACCTTCTAATATTATCTCTCTCCAAAGACACCCAGTGTCTTTTCCTGCATCGTGCTTCCTTCTGTCTAGATGTGTTTGACACGAAGCTGGGTTGACCTGATGGAGAATCTGATGAACATTTATTTTCTCATTCAGTCACTCAGACATAGTCTCACTCCTACATCTTCCATTCAAGTGGCTTTATCTTTCCATGTTAAAACAGTGCCCTCAGGCACAGATGCACATGAAATCAATTTCTTTAGGAGCATCAAGTAAGAACCATTCTACAAGATGTTCATAGGTTTCAGGTATTTTCAATAAATTTATGTTTAAACAATACACACAGGTGTCAGTGGAAGTTGTAATCTAGGCTGTGTGTTTAACATTTATGTACTAAAATACTTGATTGTCTTTTTGCCCAACTAGCTTCATTCAAACAAGCACATGCCGCTGCATGCTGTGATACCTGAGATAACTTCATTGCAAAGGGAGGATACCTTTCCTTTCAATTAGGACAATATTTCAGCAAATTAACATTAGCACAAATCAGAAATACATTCGTAAATCAGTACACTGTTTAGAAAATTATCATTAAAATACTATCTATTTTTTAAAGTATAAACAATAATTGGTTTCTTTCTTTAGCTTTAGGTTATTTTATTTATAGGCCTACATGTAGAAACATTTTTCAAACTCTTTACTTTTAAAATTGCAAAAGAAGGGTGAATCCCCACCATCTCCATATGTTAGTCCAGGTTCCCTGGCTTCTGAAATTACTTTTTGCTTTATAGCACCCTGATATTGATATGTGTATTTGGTACACCTTAGACTCCTTTCTGCAGTGTGCTAAGGTTCGTGTGAAAATGCCAACACACAGACACACACACACCACATGAGATCTCAAAGGAAGAGACTCAATGTTGTGGGGTTCTTAGGTGTACACTTAAATTAAGGAAGACTACAAAGCAGAGCAGTGGGAATTATTATTATATACATATTGTTTAGGCAAACACATTTTCGGCACATACTTAAATTTCATGATGAATTGTGGCTGTAGTTTTTTTAATTATATTTCCAGATGACTAAACATTAGAAACATATAAATAAATTCAACTCCAGATAGGTAGATTCCAGGTTAAGGCAGACAGAGAATAGCCATGCTTTGAAGATAGCATATGAATTTTTTAATTACCTATGAAAGAATAAATTATTTCTTGGTATTTTTTTAAGATTTAACTCAGGATTTCTTAAATTTACATTTATTATTTAGAAATGGATGTCAATCAGCTTTCAAGTTGCTTCATAGCATGTATTTAAATGTATAATCAAAGATAGACATAAATACATAAGGAATGATAGCAGAAGACAGAGATATAGGAAGACAGTAAGGAAGAAAGCTTGCAACCTTTTACAATGCTGACAACTCTTTTGCTTCTATTGTTCATGCAAAAAACCCCCAACTACCATGCATATCACATTTTATGATAAATGGGAAAAGCATTTCTAGAATGCCTAAGGAAACATTGTCTTCTGACACTGTAAGATGTAATTAAGAATTTTCAAAAATTTGAAAAGAAAATTAAAAGTCCCATTTTCTTTCCCCTTCTTGATTCACTGTTTAAAATTAATTTCAGTCAAGCAAAAGAAAAGGGTCTAGCCACAGCACAGGAAGTTATGACACTACTTTGCACTGCTAAGTACAGAGAATTTTATTAACTTTTCCAGTCTACTGCCTTTCTTCATGGAGAAGTGCAAAGGACCATTTCAGACTGATATGTGAGCAGAGGTTGTTTGTATTTGCAAAGACATTTATAAATACTAACAATGAAGGACTAGATTAAATTCATCCAAGATGTCTAAAGGAACTCAAAGGAGCACTTGGTACTTCCTTTTTTCTTATTCTCATGCCATTTCCACAACTGACAAACTACAGGATGGATAGATGCAATACAACTGCTCATATGTACTTAAAAGCAAGGAATCCTTTCTTATGTATGATGAGTTTCAGAAAAACAGTACTTGGAGTTGCTGAGAGAATATTAAATGGCCCAATAAGCCAGATAGAACACGATTATATTTTTTTTAAACACTTAACATCAGCAGCAAAAGAAACCGAGACACTTAAGGGCTTAAAAGAGCAGAAATGTATCATCTAGATCAAACTAATAATAGACATAAAACAGCACACCAGGAGAGGCAGATGAGGAAGAAAGATAGAGTTAACTGGACTCTAATGGACATTTTCAGACTCAATTTTAAGGGTCTATGATATGGTCTACAGGGTAAATATTTTAGCACCCGACTTCAGGCTTTGCCTGCAGTGCATAATCAAAAGTTCAATAATAATAGCAGCAAAATCTTCTAGCCTGCCTTCTTTCACAGATCTTTAGCCAGGCTGCAACAGAGAGAGGCAGTAGAAGTCAAACCCTTCCCTCCACTACAGCCCTGCCTGCTCCAGCTGATTGAGTTACCTCACTGCTCCTTCCAAGACTCCTCTGTGTGTTAAATTTCTGGATTACTTCTTGACCCAGGCAGTCTCTTTTCCAAGCTACATCTCTGTTCCCCATGGAAGCATCAGCAGTGTCAACATCTGCCCAGTCTCTCCATAGGCAGGCCAGAGTGTTGGGAGGAAAAAAGCAGGGCAGCACCCTTGCTGTGTAGGAACAGCAGAGTGCACATGAGGAGGCACCTTTCTAATGTCCCTGTCTTTGGCCAGCTATTTTTCCAAAAATCATCCCACTGGCAAGGGACAGAGATTAAGTGACTTCTGTGCCAAACACAGCACACACCATGTGGAAGAAGCATGTTTGGGATTTGGCACTAGTCACAAGCTAAATATGCTAACTGGCATGTCTTCCAAGCAAGACCTGAACAGGGGGGCTGAATGATATTTCACATTTTCTTATCAAAGCGTAATGCCCTGGTATTGTGTGCTGCAAGCACCCATGACGCTCTTGAAATGAAGCCCTCTGCAGAGCTGGTCCCATTACTGGAAGGGTTAGAGAGTTGTGTACATGGCTGTGGATCCAGGGAAGCAAATCCAAAACCTGATTTGGACACTGTATAGGTAGAGAAATTAATTTTCAAGTATGTAAGGCAGCTGCAGAAGAAGGGTATCCACTCTCAATAAAAAAAACCCAAACAAACAAACAAACAAACCAACAAAAAAAAAAAACACCAAAAAACCCCCAAAAAAAACAGATTAGGAAGGCATTATTTACACTTGATAAATCAGAAATGGCATCAAAGGAAGCTAGTATTACAAACTATTAATGAAACATATAATAATGAAACAAATCACATAATAGATCACAACAAAGTGATTCAGTGTCATGAATACTGATAACAAGTAAGTGGGCTCTGGGGATACAGTTTCAAATCCATTCCAGTCAGTGTGGTAGGAATGTGAGCAGAAAAAAAAAAAAAGAAGAAGAAGAATTTGAGTGTTCCATTGCGCACACTGACCACATCCACACCTTACAATAGTTGTCCTTTTGATGACATAGCTAGATAAAAATTATATTTAAAAGTTATGTTACCTACCAAGGTCAAATATAGACATTTATTATTTCTTCTCATGTCAAGGTAAGAATTGGGATCTCATCACCCATGCAGATGTCAACCAACTGTCCTAATTTCACAGAATAGTGTGAGTAAATAAACATTAAACATATTAAAAAAGACAGCCAGACAATGTTTCATCAACACAGATTACAAACTCATTTATTTCTTATAATTATAGAAAGCCCATTGCTGCTACAGAACATGGTATTGTCTTGAGGATCAAGTCTAAAATTCAGATATTCAGAAAGATTTTAGATATTGGAGGTACAAAAGGTGAAGTCTTTGATTAAGAGAGGAATGCCTTACATAGCTTATATAAAATATTTGTATTTTGATCACACACAAGAAACTTCAGTGGTGCATAAGTCCTGATTACATTTCAGACTTGTCTGTATCCTAAATCCTTCCTAAGTCAATTCTGGCAATATCAAAGCCTACCAAATCAAACATTAATTTGTGCATTTACACCTAAATACTTGGGGTTTTTTTTTATTTTTAGTGTGCATTGCAAAAAATAATTTGGCCTTTTTATTGTTTTTCTTTGACATGAAGGCATTCACACATGTAGTACTGGAAAGCTGGTTTGATAGCTAAGGAGAGGCACTGCAAAATCATCAAGCTGAGCAGGGAGCTGCCTAAGCCTGCCTAAGCTATGGCAGTGTTACTGATAACAGCCTCTCTTAAGAGACCCTTTGGATCTAAATGTTCTCAGCTGAGGTTCTGGCTCAGCTACAAGATTTTACAATCAAATGTCAGTGAGAAGCTTACTGACACAGGGCAAACTTCTGAATAGCAAGATATTTATTACCCTCTGTTATAGTCTTAAGAGAAGCCATATATAGTAAGACTGAAGGGTTTTGCAGTTTGTTTGGAAAATGATTTTGAAAATATCTGAATTTTAATAAATGATGAAAGTGAAAAAAAATTAATCAAATGAACACATACTGACAGATTTGAAACGAGCTAAATTTAGCTTACCCACAAATCATTACTGAAACACAAATATTTGAGTATGTTACTACATATGTAACTACACACTACAATTATGTTTGCTCAGTTCAAGTCCACAGAACCATGCTAGAGATTTAAATTTCTGATATCTAAATTTCTGTCATGCAAAGTTTTTGAGCATCTATAATAAGATCAGAATTCTGTGCTTGCATTAAACATATTTAATTTACTGTGATGTTTTTAATACATTGTTTTGACTTTTCTTCACAATAATTACAATGCCTTCAGAGTTATAAAAGACAAGTAAATTAAATCAGCATGGATTTGAAGAAGCATCACACTCAGAAAGAATCAGAAATCAAGCAGCTGTGGATAAAGCTGTACTATGGTGAGGCCATCATTTTCATCTTCAGAAAGCCACCTTAAGGGAAAAGCATAAAAACCTGTCATAGACACAGCACATATAAACTAAAGAAACAGGCAATTTGTGAGAGCCTGGTTCTGCACCTTTGATTTTCTAGGAGAGATTTTACATTGGTTTGTAAAGAAGAAAAAACCAACCTGAAGAAAATAGTGACTTTTTAAATGATTGTTTTTAGTATTAACATCTGTGTAATTTTAAAGTATAATTAACTTTATTAATATATTTATGAAATATACATTAATTTTATTTTTTGGTCATATAGGTAACTAGTAAATTGCTCTAAAGAATGACAATAAAATCAAGATAATTTAGAGTAGAAAAACATGTTCTGTGATAGCAAGTTATTGTCCTTGCAATTAATTCTAGGAACTCTGTCTTTCTCATACGTGGGTTGGTTCACAAAATAGTGAGTTGCGTGATGGGCCCAGTCCTAGCTCTGTAAGTGCCTATGGAGCTTTTACAGGTCCCGGCTGAAGCATAACTGATTTTGGCTGCTAAAACTGTATGTGGAGTCACTAGGAAAGGTGTGATGTGTAAGCTAGGTAAGAGACATTTAAATGGGTTAGCAAACGATTCAGGTTTCTCAGTGACTAATGTCTTTAGAGACATTATTTTTATTGGAGGAGTCTTTTTGTGTGAGAGAATGAGCCCACTCCCCATTCACTCCATTAGCCATGAGGCGAGGAGCTCCATGAGGAGCTCCATGTCTCAGCTGGAAGAGGACCATGAACTTAGAGTTTCCTCTATCTGAGGAGCCTCTGGGTGGCTGAGTACCCTGGGGTTAACCTCCTAATCCCTCCTACTAAATAACTTTCAGTTTGAGTAGGTTTATATACTTCAGGGTAAGCACATACCCCACCAAGAGCCCAGTTAAATGTTCTTGGCAGGTGCATGTAGAATCAGTCTGTGCCAGTCACTCACCCACATCAATAAGGTGATTCAAGTTCTTGGGCCAGTCTCTTATATACCTTTGGTCTTTTACTATAAGATTCTAAATAAAATTGGAAAAAAACCAAATATCTGGAAAAAAAATTGTTTGCTGCAGTCTATCTTCTGCAAGAATCTTCCTCTGACTGGTGTGGTCTGAAAACTCTTACAAGCAAAAGAGGTGAAGTGGCATCAAATCCTTAAAATCTCATCACGGATTGTGTTGCACATCTGAGTGATATTGTGGTTTAAGAACTTTTCTTAATGCCTACTAACTTAGATTTAGGCATCTAGAAGATTAGAGAGCATCTGAGCATGCCTTTGGAGGAAGTTGAAGATAAGTTTGATGTTGTTGAGGTCAGTACACCATCACTCTAGAGATTTAGACTGTAGAGACCAACTGAGTATCCAAGAACTGTAAAAGTTATGGTTTTTTTGAAACAGAAGATGGGATTTGGCTTCCATTAATTGTCAAGATTACAGAAATATTTAGGGAAAAGATAAAATTAAATATTATTGGCTACCATTTCTGTTTTCAGATTACCAGGTAAAATTTGCTTTCTAGATATAGGGAACTTGTAAATTTTCACACTTCAGATGTGTTCTCCAGATGCATTAAAAAGCTAATTTCCACTTGGAAGGACATGAATATGTTTGCATCAGTTATTCATTCTGAAATTCTTCAAGCTGTGAATGATATATTGTAGTGAACAGTCACTTCAAATGTACCATTCAATTTAATTTCCAATTTTGAAACTGTGTTTTTTTCAGTTTGATGCAGACTGATGTACACCTTTTTGTACATCAGTAGCAGGTCTTTACCCAAGTAACCCAGTACCTAAATACATTTCTAAATTTAGATCATTACACTTCTACATTACATTATATAATTTTTTTTCCCTTTATCCTATTTGCTGAATATATCTTGGGTCTATACTAAAGAAACATTGAAACAGAAGGATTCTAATGTTTTAATGTTGCCCTAGCTCAATAAAATACACTACTTCTTCCATGAGTGTTGAATCTATGCTGCCATGTTCCACTGTCTTCTTTTCTGATTCCCTTCCATGCCTGTTTGCTTACCCCTGATATGTTTGCCAGAGCTATTGATGTGCTAATACTTGTATACTGGTTCACCAGACACCTTCTACCTCTTGAATTCAAAATATGTAAGAATACTTTCTCTTGGCAAAGGCATTAAATTACGTCTCTCCCTCCTACAATCATCCAGTTTTAATTGCATGGAAAAATCTAGTGTCTTCCTCTAACAGTTCTGACAAATGAGTTTCAAGTTGGCCAGGGGGTTCAAAAGTCATTGGGGATGGACTGGTAAGAACACAACAAAAAAAAATCATTACTGTCTTAGAAAACCAGACAGAAGCAACTGAGAGACTTGTGAAAAGGAAACAGCATGTACAGAGGGATGATGGACTGATCTACTGACCTGTTACAGTTGAAGCAATACATTGAATTCCTAGCTGTATCTGTGATTTCCACTTTTTCTAGAAACCAGCCCCTTGCTGTAGATGGGGAAAAAAAAGAAAGAACAAATTTAATATAAACAAAACACAAATACAGCATAAGAAAGGTTTCTAATTTCATTTCCCAAACCCCATGTGGTTCAGTACTTCCAAGTATATTCAACATCAATAATAAAACTGAAACACAGATGATTCAAATTGCTACCAACTTCTCTCAGTTTTACAGGGAAGGTCTTTGATGTTTTTGACAGAAAATGTAATGGAAGATTTTTGTTACAACTTAACTTATTTTTCCAGATTGGATAGAACAGGCAGTAAGACAAATGAAACAGAGTGCATGGTAATATTGAATACACTCTTGAAAACCCATTTTGCCCTTTCAGGTACTTGGAAATGCACTCAAAATGCACCCCTAGTGGGCATTCTACTACTCTTTTCTAATTAATATATTGATATGGATGCGAACCGAGTGGTAAAAATCCCTATTTTTCCAGCAGTCATGATTCAGAATAGCATTTTCATTTAGGCCAGCACTCATATTTGTTTTAGCTTTAAGGAGATACTAAACATTCTACTTTAATCCCCTGTTTTGCTGTGTGAAGAAATACCTTCATTGTTGTGATATAGAATTTTATTTCATAGAATATCAAAATATTGATATTTTAAAACAAAACTTTATTTTATATGTACCGTGTCTGGGCTGATATTTTTAGTTGTCCTTGCCAATGCAAAAAATTAATTTTTTTTAACTAATTAAGATCATACTGCTAGTAGCTGACAACATTTTGGTACTCTTTATGTGTCCTAGAGATAAAGAACTAGATCCTATCTGACTATTTTGGTTTTCAAATATTTTGCATGAAGTACTAAGTAGGCTAAAACCAATCAAATATTTTTATTCATAAATGCTAAATTTTAACTGCACATGCTAAAAATGCAATATAAAAGTATTTGCAAATTGTGTTAGTTTGGATAAAATGTAAAGGCACAGCGATGTTTCTTTTTATTCAATGACATTTTCAAAAAAATATCTGGGTTAAGTAGGCCATGAAGGTGTCTAGGTATTCCACCTTCAATTTGCAAGATCCATTTATTGATATTTTGAAGTACTTTTGAAACTCTTTTAATGAAACTTTGTGAATGGTTTAATATATCATAGACTCTACTTGGAATAGATGACCTTTCATGAAATCTCTAAATCAGAGTCAAGATCATCAGCAATAAAATTTTACAGCCTCTCAAATTTACACGGCACTTTACAAACTAATAGAAAGGCAAGTTTGCTCTCTTGAAAAGATTAAAATCTAATGCTTCATCCTTTATTGACAAAACTCCAACAGACCTCACTGAAATCTCCAGGTATGCAGAAATCTAGAGGGAGCTAGGATATATTAGCAAACAGATGAGACATCTCAAAGAGGTACTGTAACATTTCAGGGAGCTTGTGGGGATAACAGCTGATGTGACAAAAGACACTTGGAGGTAATTTCAGAGAAATATTTAGGGGGAGGTTGTCATGTCCAAGAAGAATTGACACACACCAGCTGTGCTAGGAAGGCATTATTAGCAGCTGTGTGATGTTGATCAGGACGCAGAGAGGGAAAATAATAATGTTGTTGATAGATCAGGACCCAGGAAATCAAAGTTCAATCTATTATTTCGCCTGCAGACTTCTGTGCAACTCTCAGTACTAAAAACCTGCCATTGTGGAGTTCCCTTCCCAGATCAGATCTAAGCTGAACTGTGTACATGTATAGCAGTTATCACAAATAAGATGAAAGCAGGAAAATCTTGTTTATTATAGATATTTCCACGGGTTTGGTGGTTTTTTCTGTTTTCAACACCATGAAATATATGACATGACTGGGTGGTTAGGAAAATAAAAAAGCTGTTCAACTTTCTCCAAATAGGAATTGCTATTTGCAGAATCTTTCTTGGTTCATCCCAGAAATGATAAACCCTTTGGCACTTTGTTATGCCTCATGAACTTAGATTAATCAGATTTTATTAAACCTAAACCTATTTCTTTGAGATGAGTTAAGTAAACTTCACCTGACTAGAGCATCTTAATGCAATCAGACCTTTTTGATTCAACTTATACATTCCCTGCAGATTCAGTTTATGTGTTTGTATATCTCTATATGTCTGCATATATCTTGATATCTGCATATCCCTACGGGGTTTTAACACTATTAAATGCAAGCTCAAAAGATTACATGCCCTAGTCTCCTGTTTTATTTTTCTGTAAAATTCAGAGGTTACTGTTCACAGAAACATCTTCCATTATCATGTGTGGTTATGTTCTATTGCCACATCCTAACTTAACATCAGGGCAGGACCTGGTGCACACTGGTGTTCTCAGACTTTCACAAGAGGAGATCTGTGGGTGTGAGAGGGAGCTACAGCATGCTCTGACCAGAGTCCCCAAACTTGCTCAAATCATGGAAAGTTTACCCTGCAGTTTGAAAATTCAATCCTATCTTATTTAAGACATCTGATAAGGGGTTTGGCTGAGCAATGTTTGAAGAATAAAACTGTCTGAGCTTCATTTTAACTAGATCTCTGTTAGAAAAATAATTGTGGTATAGTCAAGGGAAGTGTGATAGAGGGGGTGAAAGCAAGGGCAGTAAAGCTGACCTCACTTGTACACAGGTTTGTATTAGCTAGCTGTAGCAGGAGTGTGACTTCAAGCACCTTTCCAAATGTCAGGCAGATCCTTAAGCAGATGTTTGCAAGGCTGTTGAACAGAGAATACTTACCAAATCCTCTCCCATCATGGCCAATTTCAATTGAACGTAGGCTGCCTAATTTTTTTGTCTTAATCTTGAAGGTATCAACCTTTAATATTAAAATACAGTTATTAAAAATATGATACTAATGTTTGGAAGCTTAAATATTTGTCTAGGTCAGTTCTGAGACCAATTCAAGTGTAATAGTAGAGTTCAGAATAAGTGAACCACTAATGTGGCTTATTTTCCCTACTGATGGTGTGTGGCATACATCCTCTCCTATTAGGTCTCAGTTTCAACACTAAAGATTCACTTTTCAACTTGTAGTAAGAAAATCCCTACCTCTTTCTTGACTTTCATCTACTGTGAAAACATTTTTGGTCTCATAAATCCTCAACTGGTATAGTTTTCTAAAATGTTTTTAGTATATGATACGTAAATAAAAATTCAGGAACATAAAAGTTAAAGGCTTTTACTACATTAACCATTATTCCTCTCAAATATTACATACTTGAATTTAAAATGTTACATTGTTTCATATTGCAGATTTTTAAAAATAAATTATTTCTGCCTAAGACCTTTGACATCACTGACTATGCATTGTCTTAGCTGGATTGCTAACAGGATTTCTACATAACTACTGTGTTTTTGAAGGGTATTGACATCTCCTGTGTTGTACTAGACAAAAGGAAATACTACTCAAGACATTTTTTTACTTGCTCCTTGTGCCTGTAGATAGCTAGATTTATTATACTCCTCAGTATGGAAGACAATTCATGGATAAATATCTTTATCTCACAGATAACCTGGCTGAAGAAACTTAGATTAATTCCAGGTAAAAAGACGATTAATATTGCTGGAGATAATGAGGTAGATCTCTTAAGGGATATATTTTCACTGGAGTTCTACTTATTTAGTCATTACCTTTCAATAACTCCACAAGAGAAAGTTACAGAGAATATATATATTTCTTTTTTACTTAAGGGTAACCATCATTGTACTCCATTGTGCAAGTGGTGACCAAACAGAGCAATTTCTTTGCCAGAATAATATGTTCATTAAATTAGGAGAACATCCAGCCAAGGCACTAGGACATCATGCAGAGAATCTGCATTTTATTCGAATATCTGTGTCTGAACTAAGGGTCTCTGAATAACAGCCTAAAGCATGATGGATCTCAGAATCAGGCTGATGTGTATGGTTCTATTTCACCTGGTTTTAGGCTCATACATCCAGGGATGCTCACAGCACCAGTTTCCATGGCAAAGTAAAATGATGGGATGTAAGAGACAGATGTGTTCTCATGCAGGATATTCAAGGTGTGTGACACAGCACAGGGTAGTGCATACACATGCACAGGCCACTCATGCTGTGCATTTCAGAATGAGGAAATTCATAGCTGGGCATGTAAGTGGAGACAGTATGAAGATGTATTTGGGACTAATAGGCAGAAGAACAGCAGAGACAGTTAGATACAATAGAAGTAAAATGTTCCTTGGTGAATCTGGTGGAAAGAAGAAACACAGGGTGAGCTGAGGCTATACCTCATGTAGTGATATGGAAAACAGAATAAATGCTTCAAGTTTTCTAAAGAACTTGCATAGATGTAATGTTTGCTTTTCTGGTACAGAAATGGACATAACCTATAAAATCTGTGTACTCACCTTTCCTCTTTCAAAGGGGTTTTGGTGCTCCAGTGGCTGAGAGAGTTGAAATACCTCAGATTTGTCCTCATTCCCAAATAAAATAATATGCACATTGGCATCAGTTCCTGCTCCCCTTTTGTCACCTGTGTACACTTTAATAGTATACTCTGTCAAATGTTTTACTTTACTTCCTTCTTTATTCAGGTTGTTATCTATGTCATCCTTTTGATTCTTTCCTCTAATAACAAAAGATCTTGGGATTTCTTTCTGTATTTTCGGCTTATTTGCACTCACAGAGAATTCTCTGAAAAATGGAACCACATTTGTTTTTTGGTAAGTAAATAATATGTTAAATGAAAAAAAAAATCTTATTCATTTATGTGGAACAGCAAAAGATGGGCATATTTTTAAAATATCTATTGAGAGAATCACTCTATGGCATTTACTTTAGTTCAATGTCTGCTCAGTGTTTTCAGTTATTACGATATTAAAAAAACATTACTAGCTTTACAAAATATACTTACTCATTCATTTCAAATACATAGATAGGATGTTCCTTCACAGCTTCTTGCACATGCAGTTTTTTGATGTCCAGCTTGCAGTCTGCAAAGGAAAGAGAATATAGTGAAAATGTTCCATTGCATGACAAGAAAGTGTTCTTGGTGTAATAATGGCATTCTTAATTTGTGACTGCCAACAACTGAGTTGAAAGTGCTGGAATGACTACAAGACTCTTTATTTTGTTCCTATTTGTAAACCTCAACTTAGAAATTAAGGGGTAAGCATTTCTTTTGTCTTAGTGAAGCAAAGGAGTGTTGTCCTTACTGTCCTCGGATGGGCAGGCACATTTGAGAAGGAAGAGCAGAAATACAGGTTTGTTGCTTCCTCCTCAGTGGCTGGTTGACAAGAGAACTGGAGCTCTATTCCATATGCAGCACAAAGAGGACCTCATTAGGTAGGAGGGGAGGTCAGCAGCTCACTGTATCTATCTGCTGTTTGGAAAAGATTGCTCTCTGACTTACACTCATTTTTGAATTTTATGCTGGGGGCTTCAGCTGCATGGCCTGAGTGTCTTGACACTAGTTAGTCTATGGCAAAATAAGAGAAAATGAAGACTATTCATTTTCCCTTCTATTGTTTGTAGCTTCAGCCCAATTCAGCAAACTGCATTCCAATCTCTTCTGCTACTATCCAATTCTCTTTAATTATATCAATAGGCTTCTGTGGAGGAATCCAGAACACTGTGTTACACTCATGACCTGTCAAGATAAGTGCATAGAGTCAGAAGATTCAGGAAGGGACCATGAACCATCTAATCTTAAAAACTTGCTCTCATATGGAATGAAAGCATAAATGCACTAGAGAACATTGCCTGGACTGTACTGCAGGGTACATCTGACTTTAAAGAGATTTTATGGGGTTTGGGATTTTTAGTTCAAAGTCATGGTCCAAATTAGTTTCAGTTCAAACAAGTCTAGTTACAATGTGAACAGCCTTACTCATCTGAAGTGTTTTATCATCTAAGTAAGTCCTTGGAAGAAATACCTGTTAAACATCACCTCAATCCTCTCTTCATAACACACACAGAGGCAATGAGCTCAATGTCCCTTCGTGAATTGTGTTTTCAAACCTGAATGGAAAAGTCTCGCCTGTCAGGTTCTCCGTGGTGCCCTTTGGCTACACACAATTGCCACATTCAGTGACTGTCACTCAGACAGATGGCTGCAGTTAACTTTCACAACTGAAGCTGTGGGAAACAAAAGCAGTGAGCTGCTCGCCTTGCTCCCCTCAGCAGCATGGCAGGGCTGTCCCTGTCCTTCCCTTGCCCTCTGGAGTCACTGCAGCCCCACACCGTGTCCCCCTGGGGGTGACCAAGGCAGCCTGTGCTGGGACATGGGACGTGAGACCAGCCAAGGAGTTCGTGCATGCTCACTGCCCGAATGTCACATCGCATTCTTGGTTGAAACCGGGTGCTGTGCCTAAAAGTTTTTTATAAGGAGGCTCCGGATGAGCAAACAAAAAAAAAAACCCCAAACAAAACAAAACCAAAACCAAAAACAAACAAACAAAAAAACAACAACAAAAAGAAGACAGATAAAGCGCAAACATGGAACCTTTGCTTCCCTAGAAAAACTGTCTGAAAATGGCCAAGTGTAATGGATAGTAATGATTTGCAATTATATAGCAAATTTCATTAGTGGATTTCAAAAAACTTCATAATTAATTCTTTGAATTAGTAGCATGATAGCCATCCTACAGATAAATTAGAGAGATGTTGAGGTCAAGACAATTTTAAGGAAGTTCAGTGACAAAACTTGCTGACTGCCAAACAGAGGTAAAAATTCCCTCTGAATGTCACAGGGAGAAAACTGAACTGGGGGGAGGAAACAGTGAATATAATTGAATCACAGAAGGAAAATTAAAAAATACCAATTTCTTACTTGAGTAATAATTATTCTCTAGATAATTTATTAGTAGAGCATGTATTAAGTGCAGAATATAATTATATTCATCTTCATTTACTTTCTTGATGCAACAATGTTATAACCTTTAGATCCCAGAATTTTAATTTTTTATAAAACACTACCCTTTAGAAAAAATAGCCAAAAGGAATTAACTAGAATTTAACTCTGGCAGGGACTTTGTTGCCTTTAACAGGAGGCTAGCTGTGTGATTTACATGACTGACTTTAGAAAGTAAAAACTATTTTACCTGTTTTACTGCTGATCAAAAGAACAATTTTTTCCAGTTCTCCCAAGTCAACAGCATCCACCATAACTAGAAATGACTAAAATAAGATTATTCAGTATTGAAATATAAAACCATGTTTCTTAGCTGTATGGGGAAATTTGAAAATAATATGCAGGAAGTACAAGAACGTATTAAAGGGTAAATTTTAAAATACTTTAAGACAGAGTACCTCATTTTTCTCTCCCCGTTGTGCATTCTGCAATGACTGGAGAAGAGATCTGTCTCCTGTGTCACCATGAGTACCATAGATACATGCAGTCATATGCACTAAATTTCTCTCATTCAAAATATTTCTTGAAAATACTGTTAGATGATATGTAACCACTGCAATATCAAGTAAAAAGAGATCTTGTTAAGACTGTGCCACAACCTTGCACAGCAGTTTGACAACATGGCATTCTACAGTCAGATGTAATTAAAATTCAAGCACTTGAAAATAATAGCAAAACTCAAAATTTTTACAATTTTTTCTTAATAATTGTTTTGCCACCATCTCCCAGATCTGAAATTTGAGAAGTGAGGCTGGACCAGCCCAAAACAAAAGTGAAAGGATTGCATTTGGAAGGTTTGATTCTTGGATCAGTGTGTCAAAGAGCAGCAAGAGTGGACCTGCCCCACAAGAGAGGACAAGGTAGAAGCTGACAAGAAGCTGAGCACAACCCCAGCTCGAGGCAGGCAGAGCTGTCCAGAGTCCCAGATGCAGCAAACAGTGGAAAAGACCTGGGGTCCATCCTGGTGATTGAGCTGGGGGCAGAAGGAGAAAGGGCTGGAGAAGTAATGAGAATAAGGCTATGACATAGGTCCAAAGTCTGTGCAGGAGAGGAGGGCAGAGAGAGAACTGGGGAAAGATGCACATAACTTGTGGCTCGGGCATGATCTGACTGGGGCATCCTCTGCCCATCATGGCTGGAGGTTCCAGGTGAGTGCAGCCAAGGCAAGTTAGGTCTGAGACTCATCGTGGCCCTGATGCACTGGAGTCAAGTGGAGAGGTTGTGTTCATGAACTTTGGATCAGATCATACACGGGGTGGCACTGGGAGAGCCCATTGTACAGAGGAGGGCAATTGAGGAGATTAATGTAGAGCAGGGTAGGAGGGCTAAAATGCTTAAATAGCAGTCTTTGTTTGGGTAGTGTGACCAGATCACAAGTGTAGCCACCAAGCTTTTATCTCTCTAGTGTACTGAATTTATTGGAAAGGGGAAAGACTAAAGGAATCTCTGCAAAGAAATTACATACAATAAGGAAAACACATGTTAATGTTACAACTCCATTAATTTTGTAAAATACTAATTATTTCATAAGATCAATATTAATTACAACTCTCTATTAAATTTATGGAAATAATCAGCTTGAAAGTAGCATAATAGGGTTTTTTCACCTTTTCAATATTTAATTGTTTTTCCTTAAAAACTACAGTAGTGCAAAACTGACCTTCTGAACAGCCCTGTGTGTGAGAGGAGAGAGATAGCACCGTATCATCCCTGGGGATCCCTGAGGTGTAAACATCTCAAAGGAAGGTACAGCAAAGGGAAACTACTTATGTATATACTCAGCTGGAGGCCTCTGCTCATTAATACACCCAAAGGCACAAATGTGCACTGGCAGATCTCGAGGGTCTCTGTCAACTGCATTTTGATGGCTTCAATTAGCCATTAGCAAATGCTTCATCACAATCCCAAGCATAATTTTTTTTTTAAAAGGAAAATAACTGAGATAAAATACTAAGGCACTCTATGAATGACAGAGCTATATCTGAAATTTAACATCACATGGCTTCTGGTTATGGTGAGTGTGATTAGCTGCTTTCCATTCCAATTAATACAATACTGGTTTTGCTTTTAGCTGATAAAAGGGAGAAAATAAATTAGGTTTAGAAAGCTGTCAAAAAGCATATCTGGTTTTCACAATAAATTGCCAGTAAATTTGTCTCTAAAGATCACTTTGAACTCCACGTGTACCACCTGCTGTGGAGCTGCTCAAAGCTCTCTCGGACATAAATGGCAAAGATTTGGGGGAATCACTGTCCTAGTTTTTTTTATTTCCCTGGTTACAAATCCCTCCTTGAAAACATCTAAATCATGGGTGGAAAGAAACAAAAACCACAGAAATTAGCTATTTCATTTGTTTGTTCTTTTACGTAAACTTATAGATAATGTAACACTTATTCCTTGGTTGTGATGTTTTTTGTCTCTTGATTTCAGAATAGTTACAAAGAACAAAACTATTGCCAGGAAAAAAAAGCCAAAAAGCAAAGAATGGGGAAGTTATTTTTTCAATAAAGAGATCAGTGACAGAGACAGAGCCAAGGTCATAAGGACTCCAGTCTCATCCCCACTTTATCACCATGCTGCATTTTTCTCTGCTCATTTCTGTGTGCTTGTACTTGTGTCCTGAATACTTCTGCATGTGACAGTGATCAGTCCTTTGCAAGGGGTACACTCATCTGCTTTATGCTAATCTGAAGGTTGTCTTTGTTTCAATCTTGTGCATAGGAGATGAAAGGTATTGAGCCCTGTTCTGTACCCATACTGTGTAAGTGGTCAAGTGAAAATAACACCTCTAAGCAACATAAAATTTAAAGCCTAGGTACAAATTTTAGATTTTCAGTTGCAGCCAAAATATGCGAAATAACCCCAAACTTCAACCTCTGTAACTTCTACTGAGATTATTCACATACTTACTTTTGGATGCCTTCAGAGCCCTCACTAAAATTGTCCATAAATTCCAATCCAAAGTGCATTGGAGTAGTTAATTTTACCTCTACTTCAGCTCACTTTAGATGAGCTGATTTATTTTTTACCCGAATAATTAATTTCTTTTCTGCATAAAACCCAGGCACAAATTATTTGAATATTAAGTATCATTATTTGGTCTGTTAATTAAGTTAGTATTTGTCCCATCATATGGCAGCATTCAGTAAGCATCACATTAGGGAATAGGGTGGATTTTAGGTGAAAGCATTTCTTTTATTTTATTTAACCAAGGTGATAAATGTAAGAATTGTTGAACTAATTTTAGGAGGCATAAATATTTGGAGTATATAAAGGTAATAAAGCTGAAGCTTATATGTAGTTTTGAGCTGTTATTTACTGAGAATGTTTGTTTGGAATGTGAGAACAAACAACAAAAACACTTAATAGTAAATGAACTATAAAAAACATGTTGTTAATGTCAGCAATATGAGCAGCTGAGGACTAAACTAAATAGAATAAAAATATTACAATAGTTCGAGAAAAGAATATTTCTTATAAACTGTTCTTTGTAGCATATAATAATGCTTCTGTGCAATCAAGTGAATATTGCATTTCACACTTTATGGTACAGAAATTAAGCTGAGTGGGTAATATTTTCCTTCATACCTTTTAACTTCTTATCCAGTCCCTATGAATCATTAAATAAAGACAATAAAAATTTCTGGTTTGATAAAGGTTTCTACTGTAATACTAGGACATGTTAACCTCCTGAACCACTCTACTGCTTTGAAGTAGATTTATACCTACCAGAAAGTGCTTCTTTTAATGGCCACTGTATAGGGAATTCAATCCATCTGTCTCCATTAGGAGAAAGAGGAAGTGTTTTATTTATAGTGAGACTAAAGGTATCCAGGGTTGACGTGTTCTGTATTTTAAAGTGATGAAGAGACAACTGGGATATGTTGTTTTCCAAACTCTGGAGACCAAGCCTCACTTTATAAAGCATTCCCAAATCAGATGGCAAATATATCTAGGAATCAACAAAACAATGAGTTAACATCCAAACAGAAGTGTGCAGATAAATGCATAGGTAGCTTACAGGAAGAGAGGAAGCTGGCTCTAAAGGAGTCAGCACAGTCGTGCACCCATTTGCATCAGTCTTGGTGCTAAAAGTGCCATTCACTTCAAAAGCAGCAGAACCAGGTTGACTGTAGGCACTTAAGAACATTTTAGCTTTATCCTCTAGGGGCATTCGTTGTAATTGTTCTATCAAATTCAAATTACGTACGCCAATGATTCCTAATGTGAATAAGTAATGTTGATGTCATTTAAAATTATATGCATTATTAACTATGACTATTTCTTGAGGAAAAAATGAATATGCTTGATTATCATGAACTTGAGAAAGCCAGAAATTAAAAATAAAATATGGTATGCAACTGAAAACTTCAGCTCTGATTTTCTTGAATACTTAAAAAATAATATAAACAATAAAAACAATATTTACAGCACTACAGGATTATTTCTCTTTAAAAGAAAACTCAAAGAAAATTTAAATATAGGCAAATCTATATATTATTTTACATCATATGTTATTTGGTTCTCAGTCTGATGTTCCACTTTGTTTTCCATGGAAACTGGATTTGACTTGCCGTTGCTTCCATAAAAAACCATAACCATCTTGGATATATTTTCTGACAACTTTTCAAATTCTGATTTTGTTTCTTCTTGATGCTTTGTGAAATAAATCCTCCATCTGCCTTCTGAACAAATAAAATAAGGAAAATAAAAAGGAAAAATATTAAGGATGTTTCTGTTTACATATATTAACAAAGCTATCTGATATAAAACTTCTACGACATGCCTTGTTCTACATGGGGAATATTATTTTATAAACATGTCACCTGGGTATTGAGCAGCTCCCTAAGTTCATTGCCATTTTTTACAAAGGGAAAACTATTGTCAGTACTAGTAAGCATAATGACATATTGTGATGAAAATATTCTCACATTATTATTCCAAAACTGATTAATAAGACAGTCAATGTAATGACAGAAGGCATACCTGAATTCATTTGCTCTCTTCCTAAAGGCCCAGCAGATGTACTCTTCCTCTCCTGAACTTCTAATTAAAAAAAAAAGATAAAATTAATATTTTTGTAGAATAGTGTCTATATGATAATAAAAGTCTGTATTCATGTCTAGTGAGTCAATTGACTGAGTATTATATCATTTAGATTAAAGATTTAACTAGGAAATGTACTGTGTGATTTGCTATTTATGAATCATCTAAATATCACCCTATTAAATAAATTGTCTCTAGGGATGGCTCTTTACTAGGAAAATGGTAGTAACATGGAAGATTCAAGTATTTCTCATTTTAAATCATTTCTCTTTCATTTGCACAATTTATGGTCTGGATGAATGAGCACTAATTGGATGTCTTTAATGCCCATTCTAGAGGCTGATGCTCCTCCCACAGATATGAGTCCTTACTGATTTCATCAGGATTTGGTATTGATCAAAGCTGCCTGTAAACATTAGGTAGTGACCTGCACTGAAAATGAGAAGACTTCTTTTGAGTTCATAACCAAGACTGGATTTGCCAATTATTGTATAAAGAAACTCATGGGAACATTTGTCCCAATCAATGAAGTTTAGTAGAAACAGAACTAAATATTGCCCTTTTTTTTTCAGAGATGTCCCAACTTACAAACTAAACCAAAGCTGAAATTATTTGTTTTTGTACAAGAACAGTTTCCTCCTTTTTTTTCTGGTTTCAAATGATCAAAAGTTAGAGATAATACAGCAGAGGAAATCTATTGGACTAGAATCTTCTTCAGTCTCAAGAGGCTACTGCTGGGCAAGTGCCAGCAAATGTCTGGGGAGTTAGGAAGAATAAATCTAGAACATGTTTTGTAATCCAAGGACTCAGCTATACTGTCAATAAACTTCTCTGAGAGGCAGGAGAATAAATACATCTGTCTTAGAGGTACATTCTGGGCTTTGGTGCCTACTGAACTGGTTGGAGTGTGCTGTGGTTCCTCCCAGTTTGCACACCAGATTGTGTTGAAATCCACACTTGGACTGAAGCCATGACACAGGGAGGGAGGGAGGGAGGGAGGAAGGGAGGGAGGGTGTACAGTCCCTTCCTGTCTTGTCGAAGAGCCACAGGCAGTGGGGTCAAAACTGCTCCTTTGTGGCCTGATTACTCACATGGCGTCAGTCAAAAGTATCTCCAGTTTCTGGCAAAAATTGTCAGCGTATAATACATATATTATACTACGTATTATAGTAGTAATACTATAATACAGCGTAGTATAAATAATGTAAATTGGTCATGAATACAATGGAGACATTTTCTCCACTGCTTAAACAGTGAGTTTTCCCCACTTTTTACCTCATTTTCACTCTGCCTAGCAAGTAATTGGTATTAGAAGCTTAAAAATAGTTTGCAGGTGTAGAAGTAAAACTTGGAGAGGTAAGAATTTGTAAAAAAGGAATAGGAAAAATTTCTTGGCATTTACACCTCTGAAAATCTAGAGTAACAAAGCAGAAATTATCCTCTGGCAAATTGTGGTTATTAAATGGTACTAAAACACAAAGTGTTCAGACACACTAATTCCCTGTATAATGACAATGTTCTACTGGAATATTTTAAATCACAACTTGTTTGTAGAAGCAAATTGTATAGCTGCATTCTCCAGTTTGGAATGAATTCCTTAGCAGATGATAGTTTGAAGATAGGGTTGACCTGTGGCATCCAGAGTTACTGAGGCAGATCTTTTTCCATCACGTCTGTCTTTAAGCCATGTTTGAGCCATAAACAGTGTTTCTGTCCCTGAAGATGCTGACTCTTTCACAATAATCTTCTCCAGAAGCCAGTCAGAGCCTCTCCCTTTTTCAACAATCATCCTTTGCAGAATACCAATATCCACTGCCTCCACGTGAAAAATATCCATCTGAAAAATTCAGAATCAGAAGTCATATGGAAACAGAATCATGTAACTAAATTATCAGTGTATTTTGAAATATGAAAGGGAGAAGAAAATCAGGATTTGTTTAATTAACTCAATAATTATCAACAGAACCAGAGATGACAAGTTTAACCATGCTAAATGACTGCATTAAGAAGTATTTCTTCCCTTTGTGGTTCTGCAATTTACAGCTAAACCTCCTCTTTGCCCACACAGATCTATCAGTTGCCTATGCTTGCTTAATGAGAATTTTTCCGTCCCAAAATTGATGTTTAATGATCTGCAGGGAATATATTTTAAATATATCTTGCTCTCAACAAAATAGACCCCAAGAGCTATTTCAGAAATGAAATGCAGGGAATGAGAAGGGTAGAAACAAGCATCACAGAAGGAATCCCTAAAGAAAGAATGACAAACTTGGTTCCAGATTTGGATTAAGTTGTAGGATTAGTTTCAATGTAAGTAATAGAATGGAAAGAAAAATATTAAATAAAACTATGTTGAAATAAATTCTGCTATTCTCTATCAGTTAAAAAAAACCCACAATAATTTTACAATGTTTAGAACACTGAAGTAAAATTCCTAAAGAAAATTGTGATGTATCAGACATTCAACACATTCACAATATGTGATTCTGGCTTTTTGTGAGCGTTATACTTATTTCCTGTTTCCTCAGCGGAAAAACAGGCATTAAATTCTTGGCACAGAGACTTTCCACATTTTTTGCTTTGTAGATTTATGAATCATCATCTCATTTCTAGTGGGGTTTATAACTGTTAAAATCTAGTGTTATTTGCGATGGCATTTCCAGCATGATTTAAAGATGCAAAGATGGTTTTGAAGGGAATAGGTAGCAATAATGAGGAAAACACTTGAGTCCTGAGAAGACTTGAAGTCTTCCCAAAGTAATTCACACTGAAGTTGCTCTGCCAGAGCAACCCTTAAAGGTTTGTGCAGATATGAAACAGAGAATAGCAGTTCTCTTGCTCCACCTCCATTCTTTCCTGGACAGGATTTCCAGCTGAAGAACTGATGAAAGATTTGTGTCAGAAAGATGAGCATAACCAGCTTGCAACTTAATAAGACACAGCATAAGTTCAAATATTGAGCTTTAAATTGCAGATAATATATAACATCTGCTTTAAAAAGAATCCCCAGAAACAGAAAAAATTTTAATTTGTTCTTCAACTTTTGTTTCTCATTTTTCATTAATATCTGTACATCTGGATTGGAAAGTGAGTGTGTTTGTGAACCACACCTTTAACAGTGCCTCAAAAATAATAATCAACATGTTACTGATTACTCTATAACTTGTAGACAGAAAGGTCATATGTATGCTATAATGTACCATCTAATCAACACATCTGCATTATCACTCTTAAGCTATCATGTGAAATGGGAAAAAAAGACAATGATATTAAGGAAAAAAATCTGAAAGAGGCATTTAAATAGCTGTACTTCCTCACAAGGAATCAAAGTTATCAGCAGCTTAGTGAATCTAACAGCAGAGCAAATACATTGGAACTGCTGAAATTCTAGATGAAGTGCAGAACTGCAGGAAAAGAGGCTCCTCTTCATGTTTTCCTCAGCTAAATCAAAAAAATTAAGGTTTACTGTCAACACAACCATTCTATTTTATTACCTATTGGACTAATTTGATGATTGAATACCATTAATTTGAACTCTTGATTTATATTAATTGTGATATTAATTTGATCACTCCTTTATTCCAGCTTTAATTGGATTGGTAAAGTTATACCCTCATGCTTGAATAAAATTAATTTCTTACACTTATTAAATGAAATATATTAAAAATACACTCAGTTAGGAGATGACTGAAAAACACAGACTGAACTAAGAAAGATACAGACCCCTGTGACTGTCAGCAAAAAAAAAATATTTTAAGTTCACAAAATGCAAAAATTTATCCTAAAATTGCTGCTAGTTCTTGACAATGATTATGCTTAAAGCATGATTGTTGAGGTTTAACCCCAGGCATTACCCCAGCCCTACAGAGCTGCTCGCTCACCCCCTCACCAGCAAGATCAAGGAGAGAATGAGAATGGTAGCAGCTAGAAAATTTGTGAGTTGAGGTGAAGTTTAACAGAGAAATCAACAGCCATGCACACAAGCAGAGCAAAACAAGGAATTGATTCAGTGCCTCCCATGGGCAGGCAGGTGTTCAGCCATGTCCAGAAGAGCAGGGCCCCAGAATGTGCAGGGGTTACTTAGGAAGACAAATGCCATCACTCCAAATGTCCCCCTCCCTCCTTCTTCCCCCACTTTCTATACTGAACATGATGCCATAAGGTCTGGATTGTCCCTCTGGTCAGCTGGGGTCACCTGTCCTGGCTGTGTCTCCTCCCACCCTCCCATGCATCCCCAGCCCCCTCACCAGTGTGGCAGCACAAAAAGCAGGAAAGGCCTTGGCTCTGTGCATGCCCTGCTCAGTGATAACAAAAACATCTCTGTGTTACCAGCTCTGTGTTCAAAAACACAACCCCATACACCCACTGGGAAGAAAATTAATTCTACCCCAGCTGAAACAAGCACAATTATTTTATTGGAAACACATAAGAAAGCTCTTGTCAGAGACTTGTTAGAATAATTTCTTTTTAAGAGAAAAGAGTTTTCCAGAGAATGACTAATTTAGTGGCATGATCATCAGCATCTCCAAAAAAATCTGTTGTCAGTGATCCACTCTTGGAAAGGAGAGTTAGGAATACAGGAAAACTATAGACAATAATCTTCTGGCTTCTAGGCTTTTGCTGTCCTCAGAAGAATAATTGGGTCTGACTTACACCAAGTTTGATGGTTAACAAACTTTTAGTACTCATTAACTTAGTGACTTAATAAATCAGGGACAGCCTGTGCTATGGGTAAATAGCACAGATAAAAGCAAGTATAGTTAAGACACAAATGGTTTTATGCTTCTTTTTTCCCATGAAAATAAGTATATTTTGATGGAAAAAACATTTGTGAAAACTTTGATGTTTGGTTTCTGTTAGACACAGTACTTTAACATTTGTCAATGTGCCATTTTAACGAGCTCACTTTAGAGAATGTAAAATCTCAGAAATCCATGGACAAATCTGCAGACTATTCAAACTAATAAACTGCAAGTTAAGGAACTATTAAATAGACTAGAAATTGTGTCATCTGGGGTAAACTCACCTCACAGACAAGATTATATTTTCTCTTTATGTGTACATTTGAAAATCTACACACTGTAATGAGCTTTATTTTAGTCAAGAGACTAAAAAAGAACAGAGAAAGAGCAGCAACTATAATTGTTAGAGCTAAAAACAATTGGCTAGAGATAATTTATTTGCTAAATTTAATTCACTTTTCTCCTCTCAAGCTGTCTGCAAACAGAGAGATTATGACATATATTTCATTCTAATTTTATGAAATTCAATGATTATTAATAATTTAGCTAATATTTTTACAGATTCATCTGAGACCACGGATTAGGCATAAAATATTCTAAATATTCCAGTTGTTGACAGGTCTTGTATGTCACATGATACTCTATCTTTTATTTGACTTATAAATGGGAACCTTCAAAATTACTGGAGGGTTAATTCTTCTGCAAAAAGAGAAAGAGAGAGGAAGAAAACACACAGAACATAAGCAAACCTATAGAATATGAAATTTATCTTCATCAGTTTCCCCCAGGGAAAAAAATGTTAATTGTTTTTTAGTTACTACTAGCAAATTAGGTTTGAACTGAGAAGTCACCTTAAATATCGATAATAATACATATTGTCTAATTCAGCAGAGCTTATATTGAATTTTCTCAGAATAGCATTAAAGCAATTTGTATGTATGTACAGCCCACTAAATTTTCTTAATTAACATTGCCTGGAGAAAGAAAGACATCCTCCCAGTCTGAGCAACTGAGACTGACAATGGTAGAGACATACATCCTCTGTGACCCAGAAGAGCTGCCCTAGCAAAACCAGAATTGGTACTTTTCATGCATCTTGGCTAAGAAAATAAGGACTAAAAAAATTCCTTTATAACAATAATTCCAGCAATCCTTTCAGAATATTTAAAGTTTGGGGGTTTTTTTTCAACTCCTTTTCAGAAATTCTTCAAATGTTTCTTTTTTTTCCCAGGGACCCACGTTTTGAGCCTTTTCTTTGAATCTGTGACCCAGTTTATTATGACTTTATTCAGTACTCTTCTGTGACAGTGCTGGCAACATATCACTGTCTGCAGGAGCTGCAATAGCTCTTGTAACAGAAGAAGCATTTGAACAGTCACTGTGCAATATTTACCTTTATAAATGCCAATCATTTTACAGGCTCAGTATTGAGACTTGATGGTTGGTTAATGACGATATTCCCAGAAGAACTGAAAATGGCAAGTCAAGACACACCATATGCTTCATTTCATCAACCTGTATGCACAAGTGATTTCCCATACTGCTAATGTTAGAATCATTTTAATAGGCTTTTATCGGAAAAGGAGTCAGAGTGTCTAGATAAAGGACCTTTTCTATTAAGCTTAGTGAACCCGTTGATTTGCTGCCTGATTATTTTGATCTCACTTGTTAATCTGGAGAAACTCTGCTGAAAACAAAGGAGTTTTAACACAGGTAGGCAAAACGAAGGCCCCCTGTAACACTGAGCCCAATCAGAAACAGTGTGTAAACATTCCCAGAAAGGGAGAAAAAATAGAAAAATTACTTTTGCCCCTTCAGACTGGGGTCCTATGGGCTCTTCCAGTTGTGCAGAACAGAACCTCTCCACCCTGTCCCAAATGCTTGTCACATCACTATCTTCTCTTAGATGGATGTTTTCACCTTTTTAGTTGGGCCAGGACCACCACAAAATCAGCTCCAGCAAAATTTTGTTGTGATAGACCAAGTGAAAAAGCCCAAATCTCTAATGATATGAACTGCTTAAACTAAATAAACATTTGGACAGAGGAAATGTCACTGTGCCAGCAGACTTCAGAGGTGGAAATATTGGGTGGTA